TAAAAAAATAAAAGATTAAAATTTTATATAAATATAATATATAAAATTTATGTATAAGTAAATTCATCATATTATTAAAAATATTTAAAATATTAAAATATCACTTTTTCACTTGTGATAGTGAGAAGTTTTCTGTTTAGACAACTAAGATATTCTAATATCAACTTGTATGGACTGAAACTAATTTCTTCACAAATAATTTTAAAATTTCACACCTCACATTATTTTGATGCAATAAAAAAATTAATTTATTTAATTATTAGACTCTAAACTTAAAATATAAATTTAATTTATAAAATAATATTTACTTATTAATGATTCTAAATAGATATATTTTTTCAATTTATTTTCTTTTAACGACATGTAATGGGATAGGTTGAAATGCACTTGTGATTGAGACTAAAGAGGTGGACGCCAAGCGCATTACCTTAATTATCTTTTCCTTTCCCTTTCGGAGTAGAATTCTTTTGATTTTACTTGATAACGCTATTTATAATTTTTTATATATATTTATAGTCTTTTTTATAATTTATATTTATTTTTTAAAAAGAAATACAAAAATTATTGTATATAAAATTAAAAAAAAATTTAAATAATTTAACAAAATTCTTAAATCTTTTTTTTTGTATATTATATATTAAATGATTAATTAATTTAATTTTAAATAATAACTTATTTAATTGAGTAATTTTACAATAAATAATTTTTTAAAATATAATTACTAAATATTAAAATACTTTTCATAAAAATACAATATAACACTTTTAATAATTATAATTATATAACAGTACAAAATAATATCATCAAACTAAACCTTTACCTTTCAATAAATTCTTTCCTTTTACATTTTCCATAATTTGTTGTTAGTGGGTGCAAAGGTCAAATCATTAATGATCTCAAAACCATAATTTGAGTTGCAGGCTATTAATTTTTTTCCTTTGCTCTATTTTGATTGTACTGTGTTTTGATTTTTGTCTTTTTTTTTTTTTTTAGATAAAGGTAATGATTAATAAGTTAATTTTGTTAGTTGTTAATAACTGAGAATTCAATCTCCAAATTTGATGAATATCTCATTTCTTTCAGTAAAGTACATAATCTATCAGATCGCTTAATGGAGTTCGTTTTGATTTTGTCCTCGGTTAGAAAAAGTGGCAAGTTCCTTTAGCTTAGGGGATGAGTCACCATCTAATTTGTTAAGTTTATTAATTTGATTGTAATTGTATTAATTTATAATTTTTTAAAAATAATTAATTTTTAATATTAATTTATTAAATAATAATTATTAATTATTTTTATTAATCATTAATAATTATTAATAATTTTAATAAATTAAATGGTGAATATAAACCTAACCTGGCATAGGTTTTAGGACACACAATACTCAAAACACTAATCTGGATTGCAGGAATGATAACTTTTTCGTTTTTTTTCCTTTGCTCAATTTGGATTGTGGTGTGTTTTAATTTTCTCCGTTACTAGGAAAACTGTAAGGCTCCTATGGCTTACGGAATCAACTATTTTTTACGGTACACATAAACTTCAATACAGTCTGTTGCCATCGCTTTTTGCAGGACAAATAATAGATAAAAAAAATGTAATAAATATATTTTTTTAATAATAAATTTATATAAAATTATCTAAAATTGATATAAAAATAATTTTAATTAATTAAATTAAAATTAATATATATTTTTAATAATAATTAATTATAAAAATATATTTATTATATTTTAATGTATAATTTTAAAACAAAAATAAAAGTAAAAATAAAAACCAGATATGAATAGTGAAATAAAACCTAATGGACCACTAGTCCACTAGCTGTAATCATAAATGCTTAAAAAGAACTCAAACAAGAACATTGTAGTACAAGAAGATATTTTAATTTCAATTCAGCACGTAATAATTTATTAATCATCAAAAAATTAAAATATTTAAAATTTCGATTCTATATGGCAGAAGGTGCAATTCAGCCCCTCTACGTCCATTGTTGTGGCACATCAGCCGCTCTACCTAAAAGTAGAGCAAATCAGCCCCTCCACTTGACAAAATCAGCAAATCAGCCCTTCTGCTGACGATGACCTCATCAAATGTCATCTTTCCGTCCGCACCTTTATTACTCCGTTACCAAGAAATGGCTTGGTGCTGATATGGCATTGGGTAGGTGATGTGGTCAATTTAAACTGTAAAATTACTAAAGAATCCTCATTTACTTGCTTTTCTTCTATTCATCTTCTCTCTCCTCCTTTACATTCTCTCTCTTCATATTGCAGATTGACTTCTTCTTTTTTTCAATAGTTTAAATTGAAATTTTCTTCAAATAAATATAAACTTCAAAAAAATATTAAAGTAACCCTCAAAATATGAAAATATAAAAGTTAAAAAAAATTTTCAAAATTAAAATCAAAACTTGTGGTTTTGCTAGTATTAAATGATTTACTCATTAAATCTCCATCTCTAATATCTCAAAATCTACCTAATTTTATTTTATATAAAAATGCATGTAATATTTATTT